TTTCCCTCCATATGTTCAGGTTGATTCTTTTCGAAAACCGAACCAAACCGAATGACATTTGGTTTTAATTTGTTATATTTACGAATAAACCGTTATCAAACCGAATCTAATAAATTTCGAGCTATAACTCGAATTATCGACCTTTATATATGAATATATGTGTTAATATCAAGTTTTAATTCTTGATTGTTGTTCATGTAACAAAATTATTCCAAACGGAACCGATCCGGTTTAAGTTGTTTGATATAATTTTTATATAATCGAATAAACTTTTCGCGAACCAAATCCAACAAATACCAAACCGAAACCTGAAAATCGACCAACCTATTTAAATCCAATGCACCGTCTTCATTATTCCTATCTGTATGTATGATCAGGTCATGCGTGAGAGCCTTATTAGACTATGTGGCCGGGTCGAAGGGCTATTAGAACTAGAGTTCGCAGGGCGAGTGTTGACAACTTCCCGAGCCTTGGAACAACCTTAACGCGTTCCCGTACTGCGAAAACTACATGAAACTGGCGGCTATGGAGCAGAGAATCCTGTCCGACAATGGTGTCTTGCGTTCCAAGAAAGTGGCTTTCGTGGGTTCTGGTCCGATGCCTCTCACTTCCTTCGTCATGGCCACACGTCGCATGACAACCACACATTTCGACAACTTCGACATTGACCCGACCGCGAACGAATTGGCGAGAAAGATCGCGGCTTCTGACCATGCGCTCGAGGAAAGGATGAAGTTTTTGACACGTGATGTGATGGAGGTAACGTTGATAAGTGCCACCAAAACTAAGATTAGGTTTGGATGTTTAAAATAGATTTTTTTTTTTTGTGTAACAGTTGAAGGAAGAATTTGCAGAGTACGACTGTGTTTTCATGGCTGCCCTGGTGGGGATGAGTGGAGAGGAGAAGGCAAAGATCATTGGGCATATCCGTAAATACATGAAGAAAGGAGGGTATTTGCTAGTGAGGAGTGCAAAGGGTGCGAGAGCTTTCTTGTACCCTGTCGTCGAGGAGGCTCACTTGCTTGGCTTCCAAGTAATCTCTGTGTTTCATCCGATGGACGATGTCATCAACTGTCATCCTTGCTCGCAAACCTTCTGTCTGATCCCGAGGGTTTAAATGTGAGTCATGGAACAACCATCTTCATATGGCCCGACTCAAACCTTTGTTTCGCTTATCGAGATTTTCGGGCATTATGTTGTCTGTATAGATGGAAAGCTAGCCATGTTACTCAAATTCACCGCCAAAGAATTACAATCGAATTGATAAAACAAAATTTGATCTGCCCAAAAATAAATAAATAAAGATTTACGATATACAACAAACAAAGAATATATATATATATAGCTCTACGCGGCAATGCATTCCTTTGGGAGACCCTGAGGGAACCTGTTGGTGTCCGTACAGTAGTTGTAGATCATGTAGCTCTTCTGTACCCATCTCATCCGCTCCTGACTGGTCGTGTCCAGTTCTTGAGATAACCAGGATCCGCTTGTCCCCTGGCTCGACCCGTTCGGACAGGAGGATTTGCCGTTGGACCAGACGCATGCATCCTCCTTGAAGTTGCGGTAGGAGGCCGTGAATGGAGCCTGCGACCAGTCGGTCTTGACGAGACCGCCCCTCGTGGCCCAGTCGTCGGCGTTCCATAGGCTTGAGTACATTCTCATCGGCTGGTTCTTCGGAAATAGAACACCTTGAGATTCCATGTTCTTGAATTCTCTGATCGGAGTCCCATCCACAGAGAATCTGTAATGAGAGGGATTCAGAAAGGAGAAGGGTTAGAGCTAAGCTAAATTCTTGAATCAAGAATCGAGTGAATCGAAGAGTGAGGGGTTTATTTACATGATGCGTTGTGGGTTCCAGAGAATGGAGTAAGAGTGGAAATCTGCTGTCGGGTCGAACCAGAGTTTGAACTGCTGTTCCCTGTTGCCCTTGCCCTGCGTGAAGACATTAGTGTGGAGAGTGTAAGGGTCGCCACTGAGATTTCCCAAGAACTCGAAATCGATCTCGTCCCACGTTGTTCCAGGCGACTTCAACTGAATCAAGAAACAAAAACAATCCAAAACACATTAAGCGAAAAATCATTCCACGCCGTTTAAGTAACAGAAATCCGGTCACTTTCACTTACGTAATAGGCAGTGACTGTTCCGGCGGAGTTTCCGGCGACGAGCTTGAGCTGCATGTCGATTTTGCCGTACAGGTACTCGTTCTTGGACTGAAACCCGGAGCCGGAAGGCTTGTCGAGGGAGAGAGTGAGAAGATCGCCATTGTTCTTGATTTGCCCACGTCCGTCTCCCCACGTTATCTCCACATTCTGGTAGAAATTGGCCACAACAGAGGGCAAGAGCACACCAGCCAATAACAGAGGAAATAGCAGCATCGAAGAAGAAGAAGAAGAAGAGATTGCCATTGCTGTTCGCTTGCAAGTTTCTATTATGGATTTTTCACGTTCTTGATGTTTTTTGGGTGTGTTGTGAGATGGATTTGCGTGTATGTATATATACAGGAACAGAGGCGGTCGGAGGGGAAGGTTCGTACGGAGTGGGTGGACAAAAAACGCGGAGGCTAGTGTAGTGGTCGAATCCGACAGCTGGAAAATATCACCAAAGTTGGGGCTCCTAATTCGAGACGCGTTTTTAGCCACCTTTTTTTTTATTTTTTCCTTTTATCATTTTTAAATTACTAAATTCTATACGAATTTGGGGAGGTGTTTCACTGTATATCATATAAATTTCAATCCTACTTTGGTAATATTGTGTTTTTGGATATTTGATTTGTTAACCTTTTAACCTATGGTGTTATGATTATTACATTTTTTTTTGTTAAAATATGTCTATTAAACCATAGAGAAGTATTTCTGGTGTTGTTAAAATGAAATAAAAACGACAAACTTGTGGAACAATTATAGAAATAATTTCTTTTGTATGACAGAAATAATGTGATGCCACATTGAAAGATTTTGGCAGTGGTAGTGGTTGTGGCAGAAAGTAAAAAGACGAGTTCGCCCCCTCTTTCTTGCTCGTTAGATTACAGCTAAGTTTTAGGTTAAATTATGCATTTGCTTGCCATCGGTTCATAAATATTTGAAAGTCACTGATAACGTGAAATTAGAATATGATTTTTTATACCAATGGGCTTAATAAGACAATATATATTGATTTATCAGTTATTTGGCTATATTATTATTAATCAGATTGGTACATAATGTAGTATGCTTTTATATTTAATAAGGTTTACATAATTGTACAATTTCGTATTTTGTTCATCAACAGCTTACAATTAAAGAAATTTATGGTTTTAATGTTTCTGCTGTAGCTTAGCTTATACGAAGGTAAATTTCAGGAATATGTGTATTTTCTCGTAATTAGTTAAAACCCATGTTAGTACATCTTAGCGTTTTGGGCCTTGAGTTGGGCCTTGAAAATGAAGCCTACAGTTTTATCAATTAATATGCTCGTTGGATACATAATGGGCCTTTAGTTGGGCCTTGAATATGAAGCCCATTGTGTTGTGTCAGGGTCAATCATCCGTTGACTAATTAAGCGAGGAGTAGAAAATGGAAAATCTCTTCTGCAGTGCCTCTCTTGTTCCGGAGGTTAGGTCTGCCTGTGGGAAAATGATTTGAGATCTTCTCTTGCCCTTCCTGTTTCTGTTTCTGGTCGCTCTTACAAGTTTGTTCTCACGGAATATCAAGTCACAGATTCTATCGGATCCCGAGGTTTGGGCTTTTAGGGTTTGTCGTATGCTTGTATAGCTGTAATTTTTATGTGCTTTTTGTTGTGTTTCTGCCACATTTATGGTTTTCATCAGCTAAATCTGGGCATCGAATCGATTGAATGGGTGCTGACATGCTCTTCTTCTAGCTCCTGGGGCTTCGTTTTTTAGGGCTTGATTTTTCTGGGTTTTTTTGCTTGTAGGATCGTCTCAGTGGATTAGGTTATTCGCTTCGAGCATTTGATTTGCCGCTTTCATCACAAAACATTCGTGTTGATCTTCCCTTTTGCTTGTTTTTTTCATCGATTTTCAGCGGCAGTGTTATGAATCTCCTGGCTTTTCACAGTAGATTCGTTTGTGATTTCGATGTTTGATAATTCCAGTTTCTGAATAGAGGAGATTAGTTTGAATAGTGTGGATTTATCTGAATTTCTGAAGCCATGAGAGAGGGGTCATTTGATTGAATGGAAAGTTCATTGAACTTTGCATGAACCCATCTATTATACTTTGATTTCAGGGACCGATTGGTTTCATATCGATTTCGCCATGGCTACATCAAACCTTCCCGCCACGACAGATTCTGTCGCCAAGGCTTTAGAAGCAAAGAGCCCATCCGAGGCAATTTCTATACTTTACAGTGTACTGGAAGACCCTTCATCGTCTCCAGAAGCTCTGCGGATAAAGGAACAGGCGGTCACAAACCTTTCCGACATTCTCACGCAAGAAAACAAAGCAGAGGATCTCCGGCAACTTCTTGTCCAGCTGAGACCTTTCTTTTCACTCATCCCCAAAGCCAAAACTGCGAAAATAGTCCGAGGAATCATTGATGCTGTTGCCAAGATTCCCGGAACTACCGATCTCCAAATCACTCTCTGCAAAGAAATGGTGGATTGGACCCGGGCCGAGAAGCGTACTTTCCTCAGGCAGCGAGTAGAGGCGAGACTGGCGGCTCTGTTAATGGAGAACAAGGAGTATGTCGAAGCTTTGGCACTTCTCACAAACTTGGTCAAGGAGGTCAGGAGACTAGATGACAAGCTTCTTCTAGTCGACATAGATTTGCTTGAGAGTAAACTTCATTTCTCGTTGAGAAACTTACCCAAGGCGAAAGCTGCTCTTACCGCTGCTAGGACGGCTGCAAACGCTATATATGTCCCGCCAGCCCAGCAAGGCACCATTGATCTGCAGAGCGGGATTCTTCATGCGGAAGAGAAAGACTACAAAACTGCTTACAGTTACTTCTTCGAAGCCTTTGAGTCCTTCAACGCTCTTGGAGATCCGAGGGCCATTTTCAGTCTGAAATATATGTTGCTATGCAAGATCATGGTCAGCCAAGCTGATGATGTTACCAGTATAATCTCCTCAAAGGCTGGACTCCAATACGTTGGTCCGGACTTGGATGCCATGAAAGCAGTTGCTGATGCTCACGGAAAGAGGTCCTTGAAATTGTTTGAGAATGCGCTTCGTGACTACAAGGCACAGTTAGAGGAAGACCCGATTGTCCACAGGCATCTCTCGTCGCTCTACGATACCCTTCTGGAGCAAAACCTATGCCGCCTTATCGAGCCGTTCTCCCGGGTCGAGATCCCTCATATTGCAGAGCTGATCGAGCTGCCTGTTGACCATGTTGAGAAAAAGCTCTCGCAGATGATCCTGGACAAGAAATTTGCCGGAACATTGGATCAGGGAGCTGGCTGCCTCATCATATTCGAAGATGTAAAGACTGATGCCATCTACTCTGCTACTCTGGATACCATTTCCAACATGGGGAAAGTTGTGGACAGCCTCTATGCCCGCTCTGCCAAAATCATGGCTTGAGTTCGTCACTCGCCCATTTTCTCCCGGGTCTCATTTTTTTTCTTTTTTTTTTGTTGTTCTCGTTTGTCAGTTTAGACATCGTTTAACTCCCCAATGCATTGCTGCTTGATGGAGAAGAACTGTCTGAATTTTTCCCAATGATGGTCTACCTTATGATCCTGAAATAGAGATGCAACTGCTCTTGTTGCTCTCTCTCTCTCATTGTATGGATGGTAAGATTGTAACCGGGCTGGTAATTGCAGATCCACCTGTTTTTGGGAGAACAGAGCATAAGTCGGATTGATCTCGAAATGGTCCGTGTCTTGCATCTCAGTATCGAATGAACTGGAAACGGTCGTTGTCTTGTACCTATAAAGGGTTTGATTAACGGTCGAGTGTATGCAGAAGAAAAACCGGCGGTGAGATTATTGCATAAAACGTCACTTAATTTGAAAATTTACCAGTCTTTTCTATGTGTCGAGAAGAGCCTTTTCACTCTCCTTAGTCCATCTGTACCTTCTTACCTCCCCTTAGGCCCGCTACTTGGCGCTCACCACTTCTCCGTAACTTCTCCTTCTCACCCAAATGTCACTATCTCTCCTCTCCCGAATCTCTCCGCAGTTACTACAAATTCTCACCGCTCCATCACCAGATTCGCCCAACCCGCCATTTCTTTCCTGGAAACAAGACATGGGTTGTTCCCAAGTTTCGATCTTTGGGGCTCTCGTGTCATGCTCTCTGATGGGCATAGTGCTGGGCCTCGGTTTCGGCGGAGAAGTTGAAATTGTGTGGGGAGGAGACAGAGCTAAGATACTGGACAACGGTGAGATTCTGACGTTGTCGCTTGACAAAGAATCAGGCTCTGCCTTCCAGTCCAAAGATCAGTTCCTGTTCGGTAAGATCTCGATGCAGCTCAAGCTTGTCCCTGGCAACTCTGCTGGCACTGTCACCTCTTACTATGTAAGACAAAACTCTGCACTCTGCAATCCGGCATTGAATATATAAAAGTCGCTAAGATATATGATTGAATACAATACAATAAATTGAACAATGCAAAAAGAAATGATTTTAATTTTGTTATCTTGATCTTACACGTGTGTAAAACAATGCAAGTGCAGCTGGCATCGGTAGGAGCAACGTGGGATGAGATAGACTTCGAGTTCTTGGGGAATCTGAGTGGAAATCCTTACACTGTCCACACCAATATCATCACACGTGGTAAAGGCGACAGAGAACAACAGTTCCGTCTTTGGTTCGATCCCACCATTGATTTCCACTCTTATTCCATTCTATGGAACCCTAAGACCATCATGTAATATACAGTCTTGTGTCGTATCTTAAAGACTGTAACTTTGGGGAAAAAAACGATTCTGAATCTTGGGTTTTGACGAATCTTGGCAGATTCTACGTGGATGGGACACCAATAAGGGAGTTCAAGAACATGAATGCACCTCAAAACGTGCCGTACCCGGATAGACAGCCAATGAGAGTGCACTCGAGCTTGTGGAACGCAGACCAGTGGGCGACGAGAGGCGGTCTCGTAAAGACAGACTGGTCCAAAGCTCCGTTCACGGCTTCTTACAGGAACTATGACTGTAGAGCCTGTGTCTGGCCCGTAACCGGCTCGCCCTCTTGCGGCGGCTCGGGCCCATGGTTCAGGGAAGAGCTTAGTGCGAATAGCTTGAAGAGACTCAAGTGGGTCCAAAGCAACTTCATGATATATGATTACTGTACTGATACCGAGAGATTTCGTGTGGGATTTCCTCCTGAATGCGGTGTTCAATGAGAGACTTCGCATGTAAATTATGTCTGTGTTTCAGTTGTTTAGCCAAAACAAGATTAATATAAGTTTGGGTTAATTAATAAACGACGTCAATGGAACTCCATTTATAATCTTTGAGCCAGAGATTATAAAATGAAAGCGTGAATCATACTTGGTATTCATACAAATCTTCATTAATATTTTATTCGTAAAAAAGCGCAACTTTTTAATCAAAAAGTCGTTCAAGAAACGCCCTTTTGACTAGAGCGGGCATCAACTAAACCGATTCGAATTGAATATTAAAAAACTCGAAAAATCAAATATTTCCAATTTCTTAAAAAATAAAATATTTCCCGAAATCAGAACAAATGGAACGTAGTATAATAATCGAATGGTAAAATTTTTATAAAAACATCAAATTGAAATCGAACCTCGAGATGCCCAGCCACAAAAAAGGGAGTCTGACTGATGAATCGAAATGTGGCGCCGGCGCGTGTAGTTACTCTCGAAAGGAGCGCGTATATAGATTTCAACGTGTACCTCCATCTGTCAGATGACCCCGGATGAACTATGAATAAGCAGCCCAATTTAATTTCGGCCCACTAGCCTGAAACCATGGCCTAATGAAATCATTGCATGTGAATATTATATATACATATATATATATATATGCATGCACATGCTTTCACACACACACACACACACACATATATATATATATATATATATGACCTTTTTCTTTGTGATCTAGCTATTCTCATCATGAATATGTGGATGGAAGATGTGGAGAATGGATTAGGATCATGCGAGGTACAATAACAAGTGCGGAATCATGTGACATGAGACTGCATGATGAAACATGTGATAGTGTGGCAACTTGACCCTTTTTACAGATTGGCCATCTTATACATTATTTTTCAATGTTTCTTCCATAAATTCATGTGAAAGTCAAATATTGGATCAAAATATAACCATACTTTCCATACTAAATGCCTCATACATACCTTTATTCTTCTTATATATATATATATCCATTATAATTGATAACTTTCTTTTTTTTTTTTTTTAAATCGATCGGTCGATTAATTGTCAAACCGAATTATAATTTCCATGCATTATTTGCGGAGTCTAAAATTGCATCGGTTACCAAAACAAGATACCTGTAATCGAAAAACACGCTTTTGTAGTTCCTTTTGCACAATCAAGCTATTCAGTTAAACTTTCTTTGCTTCAAGGTTATATCTAGGCATTTATATATTAAATATTGTTGGGTTTCCGTCTCTTATTATAATGAATATTGACTCGCATTGTTTTTTTTTTAATAACCATATTTAACTTTTTCTCTCGAGAGATAAACCTAAATTCTAATAATATTTTGGTAGCTGAAAATCATAAATAATTTTCATATATAATTATAAATCAACATCGAACCAAATGGGACAATATATATATATATATATAATGGCTGTTCTCGGTTGAAATTTCCCTATACGGGATTAAAATACAAAACAATAATAAACCATGTTAAATTATTACTCAAGTAATTAAACCGCGTTTGACATTCATTCTATAATTTAAATTAATAGTAACGAATTTGCATGCTTTGAGTTTGTGAGCCGACAGCTTTTACAGATAATACAAAGAGGCACAACTGGACACAGCCCATTTTTTTTTTTCATTTCTAGCCATTAGAGGAACCTTCCTCTCTCCATCACTATAAATAGAAACACTTCGAACGTGTTCTCAATTTCATTTCAGACAGCATAAAATCATAACTCAATCACTTCTGTTTCAGTACTATCTAATGGCTCCTTCCAGTACATCGGTCTTGTTCTTGTTCTTGTTGTCTTGTTTCTTGGGTTTGGATTTTGCGTCGTGCAACTTCTACCGGGACGTGGACGTAACTTGGGGAGACGGTCGAGGTAAGATTATGAACAATGGGAGAGGTCTGAGCCTGTCTTTGGACAAAGCCTCGGGCTCGGGGTTTCAATCCAAACACGAGTATCTGTACGGCAAAGTCGAGATGCAGATCAAGCTTGTCCCTGGCAATTCTGCTGGAACTGTCACCACCTTCTACGTACGTAACCGTATATACATTCATATCTTTACATATCTATATATACGATTAAGTAATGTTGTAATTATATTTGATCTTGATTTGTGCAGATGAAATCACCCGGTTCGACATGGGATGAGATCGATTTTGAGTTCTTGGGCAACTTGAGTGGTGACCCGTACACTCTACACACCAATGTGTACACCCAAGGCAAAGGTGATAGAGAGCAACAATTTCACCTTTGGTTCGACCCGACAGCCGATTTTCATACTTACTCCATCACTTGGAATCCCCACATAATCATGTAAGCATATATATATGTATATATTATAACCATGAGTTTATTAAATGTTGAATCATAAATCGTAGTTCACTCATGAATTCATTGCTTAAAAAAGATATAACATTATGTTACACAATCTTTCTTCTTTTTTCGGGTTTGAGACCAACTAAACGTGAACGAACTTGTTTAGACGAATTTAAATACTCTCTAACGATATTTACTTTAATTGTTTTTAAATCTTTTATAGTTTCACTGTTGATGGGACACCGATACGAGAATTTAGGAACATGGAGACAAGTGGAGTGAATTTCCCGAAGAACCAACCGATGAGAGTGTACTCGAGCCTTTGGAACGCCGATGAATGGGCCACGAGAGGAGGTCTGGTCAAGACGGACTGGTCCAAGGCTCCCTTCACGGCTTATTACCGCAACTTCAAAGCCGACGACGCTTGTGTCTGGTCGAAGGGCCGGTCCTCTTGCCGGTCGAAGTCAACCGCGTGGTTGTCTCAGAAAGTGGACGCGACCGGTCAGAAGAGGATGAGATGGATTAGGAAACGGTTCATGATTTACGATTACTGCAGAGATTCCAACAGGTTCCCGCAGGGCCTGCCTCGAGAATGCATCTTGCCCTGAATATATTCTCTTCCTTAATTATATGTTTATGTTGTTTATCAATTCAATTTGTTTATATTCTTTTCTTAATATTTAATGGTATCAAATAATAGAATTGTCCTATTGTTTATTTATTCAATGAAATATTCGAGCCCATATAACTTTCTTTATCCTTTTGGGGTTACTGGTCCGTGTGTGTGTACATAACCTAACATTTGAAATAAGTTAACAGCATCAATGCCAGCGGATGAGTTATCGGAATTCTAAAACTATAAAGAAAGAAGAAAAAACCCTTAAAATCTAATATAATATAAAAATATTTTAAATCTGCTGTATATTTTTATATACATATGTTATTGATATAAAGAAAAAAATAAGAAGGAACAAAAATTATTAAATACTTTGAGTTAAATTAGTAAATATTCCAATGGATTATTTGTCTAAAATATAAAAATGAATTTAATACGAGGGGAAGGGCACGCGCGGTGGCGGTGCGTATATTCTCACCGGCAGGAGAGATCAACCAACGCGAATATTCCGATTGAGAAGTTTAGGGAACTAACACAATTAAAGGAAATGCCACGTGTGCAGTGATCTTCTGGCCATCGCCGAACCAAGAACCTCTGCTTCGCCTTTCCTTCTCGATTATTCTTCTTCGGCGTCGTCTCCCCCCCCCCCCCCATCATCATCTCTCTTACAAATTTCTTGCTACAATCACTACAAAAAAATCCTCGAATTCCAACGGATTTTCAACGGTTTTCAACGACGATTTCCGTTAAAATTCCGTTGAAAATTTCCAACGGGTATCCGTTGGAAACACCCGTTGGAAATTTTTAACGGAATTTTCAACGTATTCAATTGAAAAATTGGATTGGAAATTTCCAACGGATTAACGTTGGAAAAATCGGTTGCAAATTTTTAACGGAGTTCCAACGGATGTTTGTTAGAAAACAATTCCAACGGAATTCCAACGGATGCCGGTTGGAAATTTTTTTGAAAATTTTTAAAAAAATTCCAACGAAATTCCAACGGATGCCGGTTGGAATTTTTTTTGGAAATTTTTTTTAAAAAAATTCCAACCGAATTCCAACGGATGCCGGTTGGAAATTTTTTTGAAAATTTTAAAAAAAAATTCCAACGGACATCGAATGAAAATTTGGATTTTAATTGAAAAATCAATTGAAATATATATATATATATATATATAT